AGATGTCAGCATGGGCCTGGTTTTGGCTCCTAAAAATCCTCTGGCTGTAACAAAGAGGAGAGATTAGTCATGGTCTCTTTTAGTTGTGATATTCTCTGTGTGGGAGCAGGAGCTAAGATGCCCTACTCTGTATCCTATCTTACTAGTCCTAGAAAAACAATTAGAATCCCCTGAGACTTCAAACGTAGGCAACCTAGGTCGGAATGACTTTGTTATCGGGGGATCCCGATAGTCATCCCATCAATTATAAGAATAATAAATCTCTCACATCACGTACCGTGTAAAGCCTTAATAAGTCCTTAATGAATGTTGCCAGTTTGTTCATCATTTAGTCCGCAAAATTGAAACTGTTCAGTTGCTGAATGCCAAACATTTTACAGTCCCCGAACCTACAAATTCTTTAAAATGTTTAGGCCTATAGGCTACTCACGTGGGTTGTTCGTTGTTGTTTTCCCCAGTCTCGAAATACATATTATTTTGCCCTGCTGCTTAGAGGATTGAAGAGCCTGGGGGAAGTCTTTTGTTTTTCTGAGTTAATATTATAACAACTCGTTCATTTACAGCCGAGTCATGAAATAGATAAGGGAGGCCGCAAAGCATTGATAACGCCAATTGACCTACCTTCTCCAATGCCCAAGCTCACGGCACGTGAGAAATGTTCCTAACCTCAATATATCCATGTCCTGGCTAGAACATAGTTGCAATAAAGAGAATGGCGTCTTTTTGTAGCCACTGACAGTGGCTAACACTGCCATGTCTCGTTGGCCAAAGCATATGGGGAAATGAATGGGGGTTTTGTATAAACGCCGAAGGTCTGTGGTAAACACAGGTTTAGGAGATCATATACGTTTTGTTCTATGAGTTAATCTTCATCAGCTGTACATTTTGAAGTATTTATGTAATCAAAACAAGCACATAAAAGCTTCATAATTCATAAAGGTAATGTTAACTGACTGATATTATCTCAGAACAAAACGTATAACATCTCCTAAGCCTGTGCATGTTAACCTCAGACCTTAACCACACTGCTAACCATATGCCTAACCATACCCTTAAAATTAAGACCAATGGACCAGAGGTTGAAAATACTAACTAATTTCCGTTTTTTAGGACTACAAGCTTGTAGTCCTAAAATACGGAAACGAGTTTCCTCTTGGTTGTTCAGCCATTCCTATGGGGGGAAAGAATTGAGTTTTGGGATAAACGCCGAAAAATAACGTCTGAGGTTAACACAGGTTTAGGAGATCGTATACATTTTGAGAAGATTATCTCATAGAACAAAACCTATACGTTTCAAGTTTTATTAGTCGTATGTACAGGATACACATGGTATACCCCGTCCAATGAAATGCTTACTTGTAGGTTCCTTCTCGACAATGCAAAAACAATACAAAATAAGAAAAGATACAAATACGAACATAAAGTAAATGGCTCAGAATAATATAATAAACATTTTAGCATAAGTATAATACAGGAAGGCACAATTTATAGTCCAATATTTGCATGTGTTTGGGGGAAGGGGGGAAGGGGGATTGGGGGTCAAGAGTTTAAATTGTGCAGTATTTAGCAATCATAATAAGAGCCTTGTAGCAGCAGTTGTGATGTGTGTGTAGCATGAACTTATGTGTGTGTGGATGTCTGTGTGGGTGTGTGCATGAGTGAGTGCATGTGTGCTTAGGTGCGGAGAATCAGAGCAGGTGGTCAGTCCAGTTCAAGTGTTCAGCAGTCTGATGGCTTGTAGATAGAAACTGTTGGTATCAGACCTCATGTTCCGGTAACATCTGCCTGACGGTAAGGGAGTGAACAACTTGTTGCTGGGGTTTGTGGGGTCCTTGATGATGCTGTCTTCACGCACCGTTTCGAGTAGATGTCCTGGATGGGTGGGAGCACAGTCCCAGTGATGTACTGGGCCGTCTTCACTTCCCGCTGGAGGGCCTTGCAGTCATGGACAGAGCAATTCTCATACCAGGCCGTGATGCTACCGGTTAGGATGCTCTCGATGATGCAGCGGTAGTATTTGGAGAGGACCCGGGGTGGCATGCCGAATTTCTTCAGCCGCCTTAGGAAGTAGAGACGCTGTTGCGCCCTCTTGACAAGAGTGGTGATGTTGTTGGCCAAGTTCTCGGTGATGTGGGCCTCCTGTAGCTCAGTTGGTAGAGCATGGCGCTTGCAACGCCAGGGTTGTGGGTTCGATTCCCACGGGGGGCCAGTATGAGGAAAAATTGAGAAAAAAAATGTATGCACTCACTAACTGTAAGTCGCTCTGGATAAGAGCGTCTGCTAAATGACTAAAATGTAATGTGGACGCAGAGGAACTTAAAACTGCTTACTCTCTTTACTGCAGTCCAGTTGATGTGGATCAGGGCATGTTCCCTCGTCTGCTTCCTGAAGTCAACAATCAACTATTTTGTTTTGCTGACGTTGAGGGAGAGGTTGGTGTCCTGGCACCACAATGCCAGTTCACTTACCTCCTCCCTATAGGCTGACTTGTCATTTATGTTTATCAGGCCAACAACCGTGGGGTCGTCTGCAAACTTGATAATGGAGTTGGTGTCGTGCAAAGACATGCAGTCGTGGGTGAACAGGGAGTACAGCAGAAGGCTGAGGCCACACCCCTGGGGTTGTCCTGTGTTAACAGTCAGTGTGGAGGAGGTGTTGTTGGCCATCCTCACAGCCTGTGGTCTGTCCGTCAGGAAGTCCAGGATCCAGTTGCAGAGGGAGGTGTCCAGACCCAGGGCTCTGAGCTTGGTGTCGAGCTTGGAGGGAACAATAGTGTTGAATGCTGAACTGTAGTCAATGAACACCATTCTTACATGGGTGTTCCTCTTGTGCAGATGTGTTACGGCCGTGTGAATAGCAATGGAAATGGCATCTTCCGTGGATCTGTTGGAGTGGTAGGCAAATTTGAGTGGGTCCAGTGTGCCTGGTATGCTGGCCTTTATGTGGGCCATGACCAGCATCTCAAAGCACTTCATGATGACCAGGGTGAGTGTGGTGGGGCGGTCATCATGAAGTGCTTTGAGAGAATGGACATGGCCCAGAGGGCCAGATGGTGGTAGGTCTGATCACCGACGACAGTGAGACAGCCTATAGGGAGGAGGTCAGGGACCTGGCATTGTGGTGCCACGACAACAACCTCTTCCTCACCGTCAGCAAGACAAAGGAGCTGATCGTGGACTACAGGAAACGGAGGGCCGGGTTGTAGTGGACCAGGTTGAGAGCTTTAAGTTCCTCGGTGTTCATATCACTAAGGATCTATCATGGCCCAAACATACCAACAAAGTTGTGAAGAGGGCTAGACAACGCCTCTACCCCCTCAGGAGGCTGAAAGGATTTGGCATGGGCCCTCAGATCCTCAAAAAGTTATACAGTTGCAACATTGAGAGCATATTGACTGGCTGCATCACCGCTTGCTATGGCAACTGCATCTGACCGCAAGGCACTACAGAGGGTAGTGCAGACGGCCCAGTACATCACTGGGGCCGAGCTCCCTGCCATCCAGGACATCTATACCAGGCGGTGTCAGGCCCTACAAATTGTCAAAGAGTCCAGCCACCCAAGTTACAGACTGTTCTCTCTGCTACCGCAGGGCAAGAGGTACCGATGCACCAAGTCTGGAACCAACAGGACCCTGAACAGCTTCTACCTCCAAACATACGACTGCTAAATAGTTAGTTAAAAAGTCACATACGCTGCTGCTACTGTTTACTATCTGTCACTTTATTCCTAGTTATATGTACATATCTACCTCAATTACCTCATACCCCTGCACATCGATACTGATTGTGTATCTATCATTACTTTTACTATTTAGTGTTTTACTTTTCAATTATTTCTCTATTTTCTTTCTCTCTGCATTGTTGGGAAGGGCCTGTAAGTAAGCATTTCACTGTTAGTCTACACCTGTTGTTTACGACGCATGTAACAAATAAAATGTGATTTGATTTGACAAGTGTTGAATTGATTGAATTTCCACAAAAAGAATAGCCTAATTATCTCAACCTTTCTGGTGATAGGACTACTGTATGCAAGTTGTTATCACTTAAATGTTGAAGAATACATTACAGGTAAATAGTAAAATCTCACGTAAAATGTCTTAATGAAAGACAAGGATGAGTAGGCCTAATGGGATAATAGATTATGAGTCTGACTATGACAGTCAGAAAAGTCCAGAGGAGAATTCTCTCTTGAACCCCAGAGCCAGCTTTGCTGGTTCATCTATGGCCCCTGGGATCCAAAATATGATGGTGGTCTAGACCCAGGCCTGACAAGAGGCATAGTCACCCTCACAAAAAAAAAAAGAGAACGCAGAGGACAGTGATCAGTACAGAGGACAATGCCCCCAAGTGGGTAGTCTCCCAAAGCACCCTAGGAGTCAGCCACTTCCACAGGAAGCAGGAGGCCCCGAAGGGCACCAAGCTTGAGGGCCCACATCCAATGACACATGTTGAATTACAAACCAGATTTAGTGATTATTGCCTCTCAAAATGAAATTGGGGGACTGTGGATCTGTCTCCGTCCCCATTCGTTTGTGTGTTAGTCACACGCGATATTTCAGACAGTACTGGCCCGATTTGGAAGAAACTTGGGTGAGTGATGCGTCTTGCAATAGCGATCCTGCATTTACAAAATAGCAATGATTGGCCCAATTCCGGAGCTATATAGTAGTTAACTGAAATGTGTTAGTCACACGCGATATCTCAATTGGCTCAAGGGGGGGCGCTGCATCATTGGTGGGGGACGACATGTTTACTGTTGCCTTGTTTTTATTTTCAATTATATCAACATAAAAATGTAAAGACAATTATTTTTATCTTACATTTTTTAAATATAATTTGATTTCAATCATCTCTGACACCCCCCTCTCCGGTTGAGGAGGCGTATGAGTGGCTTGCTTGCTAACCCAGCAACCACCTACTTAGGCTAGCTGATGTGGCTGGAGGCTATCTAGCTAATCAGCAGAGGTCTGAAATTACGGAAATTGTCGCAATCGTTCTGAAATTACGGAAATTGTCGCAATCGTTTTGCTTGCTCTTCGAGGACGTAAGTGTTTATTCGGATAACATATTTTATTTTATTTGAAAAGGGATTACAGTAAGAACGTTAGCAAGTCAACAAGAACATGCTGATATAGCCAACAGTTGGCTAGCTAGCTAGCCAGCGTTAGCTTGGTAGCTAGCTAATCAAACTATCTAGCTAGTTGGCTTTACTTATTTTCTAAACTAACGTTGACTCTCTTTGATGGCAGCTTGTTAACTAGCTAGCTAACGAACGTTAGTATAACTCACATTTATAAGATGCTGCATTGCAGGTCTAACCGTTAGATTGCTAACCAACTAGTTTGAGCTGGCTAGCTATCGAATTTCATTAAAGCCACAGTCTGTAAAATGTCGTATAATTTCAGCTAGATATAAGAAAATGATATCTTATTTAACCATCCCTCCCCAGTCTGCTGTGTAGTGTTGCTGCTTGCCATACTGAAAATAGGTCAGAAGTCAGCTGGGAGTGGGACAACAAGAGCCTCCACTCAAATATGGGAGGCTAGACAGTTGGCATACAGATTAGGCAGCAAGGGTTTAAAGCAGAGATGTTCTCCATTTGATTGTTTAGGCTACAGTCTATCATCTATTGTAGCTACCTGTGATTACACTATTGTGTTAATCAGCATGCTCTTAGTCACCACCCAGAAAACAGGCCGTAGCCAGATCAAACGATGTAATGCCCTGTATCTTCATCCTCAGTATGCCAAAGCAGCAGCTGCAACCAGGGTTGGAAATGAACACCCGCCAAATGCGGGTACATTTTGTCATTGGCGGGGTAATAATGTCTAAACACAGTGCATTTGGGAAGTTTTTTAAATCCAAAACCCACATGTAGAAGTTAGTCGATTTGACAAGAAATACTACTAAAGTGTGACTTTGTCCTCGTGTTTCTTGGCCAGTTACATCGTTTTGTTCACACGTTAGGTTGTTTTTCAGTATTAGTTTGAGTTTGCTGCAACTGTCTGCTGCTAGGAAGACGTCGCAGTTGGAGATTTTTTTTCGTCACAGACAAGCGAGTGCTCAAGTTACCACGGTAACGGCCCGTCCCTTAAAGGGGCAGCTAAAATGTTTCGTCTCACCTAATGATTGAGCATGGATAACTCCCGTTTAGTCTTGTCTTATCATTAAAACACTCAAATACTTTAATCGTTCTCCTAGATTTATTTGCGTGCTTCTACAGTGCATTCGGAAAGTATTCAGACCCCTTGACTTTTTCCCCATTTTGTTACGTTACAGCCTTATTCAAAAATGTATCAAATATTATTTTTTTGTCATTAATCTACACACAATACCCCATAATGACAAAGCGATAACAGGTTTTTAGAAATGTTTGCATAATTATTACAAATAAAAAACAGAAATACCTTATTTACATAAGTATTCAGACCTTTTGCTATGAGACTCGAAATTGAGCTCCGCTGCATCCTGTTTCCATTGATCATCCTTGAGATGTTTCTACAACTTGATTGGAGTCCACCTGTGGTAAATTTAGTTGATTGGACATTATTTGGCAAGGCACACACCTGTCTATATAAGGTCCCACAGTTGACACTGCATGTCAGAGCAAAAACCAAGCCGTGAGGTCGAAGGAATTGTCCGTAGAGCTCCGAGACGAGATTGTGTCAAGGCGCAGATCTGGGGAAGGGTACCAAAACATTTCTGCAGCATTGAAGGTCCCCAAGAACACAGTGGCCTCCATCATTCAGAAATGATTGAGATTGAAACCACCAAGACTCTTCCTAGATCTGCCCGCCTGGACAAACTGAGTAATCGGGGTAGAAGGGCCTTGGTCAGGGAGGTGACCAAGGCCCTTCTACCCCAATGGTCACTCTGACAGAGCTCCAGAGTTCCTCTGTGGAGATAGGAGAACCTTCCAGAAGGACAATCATCGCTGCAGCACTCCACTAATCAGGCTTTTATGGTAGAGTGGCCAGACGGAAGCCATTCCTCAGTAAAAGGCACATGACAGCCCGCTTGGAGTTTGCCAAAAAGGCACCTAAAGACTCAGACCATCAGAAACAAGATTCTCTGGTCTGATGAAACCAAGATTGAACTCTTTGGCATGAATGCCAAGCGTCACGTCTGGAGGAAACCTGGCACCATCCCTTAATTGAAGCATGGTGGTGGCAGCATCATGCTGTGGGGATGTTTTTCAACGGCAGGGACTGGGAGACTAGTCAGGATAGAGGGAAAGATGAATGGAGCAAAGTACAGAGAGATCCTTGGTGAAAACCTGCTCCAGAGCGCTCAGGACCTCCGACTGGGGCGAAGGTTCACCTTCCAACAGGACAACAACCCTAAGCACACAGCCAAGACAAGGCAGGAGTGGCTTCGGGACAAGTCTCTGAATGTCCTTGAGTGGCCCAGCCAGAACCCGGACTTGAACCCGATTGAACATCTCTGGAGAGACCGGAAAATAGCTGTGTGGTGACGCCCCCCATCCAACCTGACAGAGCTTGAGAGGATCTGCAGAGAAGAATGGGAGTAAGTCCCCAAATACAGGTGTGCCAAGCTTGTAGCGTCATACCCAAGAAGACTTGAGGCTGTAATCGCTGCCAAAGGTGTTTCATCAAAGTACTGAGTAAAGGGTCTGAATACTTATGTAAATGTAATATTTCAGTATTGTTATTTTTTGCAAAAATTTCTAAAAACCTGTTTTTGCTTTGTCATTATGGGGTATTGTGTGTAGATTCATGAATGGGGGGAAAAACAATTTAATCCATTTTAGAAAAAGGCTGTAACGTAACAAAATATGAAAAAAGTCAAGGGGTCTGAATACATTCCGAATGCACTGTATATGTTTACATAGGAGCACATCAGGTACTCCTTGTAAAAAAATGTCAGCATAGAGCCCTGAACTATAATAATACATAAGTTGTATCACTCAGCTGTTTGTGGCAGTGCAGGCACTTTGTTCATTTGTATAACTATTTTTACTGTTGGATCTTTTTTTGTACAATTTTATTAGATTAAATTTTTTTACAAAACATCCACTTACAAATGACAACAGACAGACGCACACAAACATCCACAACATAACTCCTGGCCAGATCCTCGTGCTCACACCCCTATATCCAGCGCCTGCATCATTCTCTGCCACATGGCCTCAAACGGCACCATTTTGTTTCTCTCTATTGCCCACACACTTTCAACATTAAGATAATAAAGCATTTGACCTTTCCATTGTGTTAAAGTGGAAGACTGGTTGATTTCCATTCTTTAAGTACATGTTTTTTCAATGTGATTGACAAGAAAAGTATCGTCCAACCCATAGCTCACTGCACCCTCATATGCCAGGTCTTGAAATATGCAGACAGATGGATTAAAAGTACATTTACATTGTACTAAATTATTTATTTTAATGTACATTGGTTAAAAGACACAGGTCACAAAAATGAAATGAAATGAAGCAATATATCCCATTACTTTTTATTAGTAATACATGTATTGTTATAGAAACAATAGAACGCATGCTCATACATTTTTTTGTAGTGATTTTTGGTGTAATTATGGTGAAAATAATATTTTGGCTGGTAAAAAAATCTGAGTTCCACAGTGGCTGGTGGACCAAAAGGTTAATTTCCCACTCTGGCTGCAGTCCCAAGGATAGTAATCGCAGAGTTTCTAACCATACTGTACTGTCTTTGGTTTAAGTACTGTTGTAATTACCATGATACCATTTCTAAGTAAATGCCTAGAAAGTTAGGCTTATGTGTCTGATTGTGTCTGTCTCCCAATACAATGTCTCATCAAAGCCACTCCATGTGACCTTTGACAGTCCTGCTGAATGGGAGAAATGAGGGCCATTTGTGAGTGAGGTAATGGCACTGCTTTTCTGTTTTCTCACTAGTTCTCAAGCTACTGGTTTGAGCCACTAGCATGATGATATAGCTGTGGTTGTTTACGATGCAAAAAATATGGTAACAAGGCTTGACCTTGAAGTTATGTTCATTGCACAGGAAAGGGTATGTTAATTTTGCTGCATTGCTTTTGCAGATATGCCATAAACAGTCCTCTGGCCAGGTTTGCATTGTGAAATGGATTTTCTCCAGGCAGTGACTCACCTACCCTGCTTGTATTCTGCAGAAACTTGTGTGTCTCAGTGATGTGCCATGGGGTATGACGTCACCAGGTTCCAAGGGGAGGTGGATGAAGACTTGCTGTGTCCCATTTGCAGCATGGTGTTGGAGGAGCCAGTGCAGGTTAGTGCGCTACATTTCCCTCTTCCCTTCTCAGCCAGACCTATTGCAAGGAATTGTTAATTAATCCCTTTTATCAATTTAATTATTATTTTTATTACAAAAAAAATCAAACTTTCCTCTCAGCCAGCCACCTATTGCTGGGATAAAGACCTACTGATTTAATTCTTATTTCCCCCTACCGCTTTACCCTTCTCTATCTCCTCATTATTTTCTCTCACATGTAGGCCCCGCACTGTGAGCATGCCTTCTGCAATGCCTGCATCTCCCAGTGGTTCAACCAGCAGCAGATCTGTCCTGTGGACCGCAGCGTGGTGACACTGGCTCACCTCCGGCCCGTGCCCCGCATCATGCGCAACATGCTCTCCAAACTCCAGATCGCTTGTGACAACGCTGGCTTCGGCTGCACAGCCACACTGCGGCTAGATCAACTGCAGTCTCACCTGAAGGACTGTGAGCACAACCCCAAAAGGCCCATCAACTGTGAGGAGGGCTGTGGGTGAGTGACCTTAGAGCACATTACACAGCAGAGTAGACCAGACCGGCCAGAATGAAAAACATGGCTATGACTTTTGAGTTCCTGGGCATGTCGCACCACCACTGCAGAATGTGACAGTATCTAGTCTTGTAGTGGTCTCTAGAGTGATCTAGTGGCTTTAATTTCATAATGTCACAATTGCTCTACAGGTTGGAGATGCCTAAAGATGAGATGTGCAACCACAACTGCATCAAGCACTTACGTGGCGTGGTACAGCAGCAGCACACCAAGATCTCTGAACTGGAGAAGAATGCTGCAGAGCACAAGCACCAGCTGGGGGAACAAGTAAGCAGACACACTCACACAAACTGCATACAAACATATGCAAATGCATAATTCATAAAAATCCATTAGTGCTCTGTTCCTCAAAGGTCAGGGATCTGATGTGTCTTTCTCTGTTAGAAACGGGACATCCAGCTGCTAAAAGCCTACATGAGAGCAATACGCAGTGCCAACCCCAACATGCAGAACCTGGAGGAGAGCATTGAATACAACGAGATCCTCGAGTGAGTTTACTCTCCTGTCTCCCTGGCCGTGTCCTTTACGATATTTTGACATAGTTTCAGCATTTTATTTCAGCAAGCCTCATCTATTTACTGTGTTTTGGATATTATTTGTTTAAAGTATGAGTGTGTACAATCACTTAAATCACCCTAAACTTAATCAAATTTAATAAAGCCCTTTTTACATCAGCAGTATTGTCACAAAGTGCTTTAGAGCTAAAAAAAATCCCTATTCCCCATCTCGCCTGTTCATCTCCTGCCCAACAGATGGGTCAATTCTCTCCTACCTGCGCGGGTGACACGCTGGGGCGGGATGATCTCCACGCCAGACGCAGTTCTCCAGGCGGTCATCAAGCGGTCACTCATCGACAGCGGCTGTCCTCTATCCATTGTTAACGACCTGATTGAGAATGCCCACGAGCGCAACTGGCCGCAGGGCCTGGCCACGCTGGAGACACGACAGATGAACCGGCGCTACTACGAGAACTACGTTGCCAAGCGGATCCCTGGGAAACAGGCAGTGGTGTTGATGGCCTGTGAGAATCAACACATGGGAGAGGACATGATCCTAGAGCCTGGCCTGGTCATGATCTTTGCCCATGGGGTGGAGGAGATCTTATAAGAACCCATGGAGGGGAGGAGATCTTATAAGAACCCATGGAGGGGAGGAGATCTTATAAGAACCCATGGGGTGGAGGAGATCTTATAAGAACCCATGGGGTGGAGGAGATGTTATAAGGAGATTTTACAAGAAACTAGCCAACATTAGGAGGATGTCTAGTGTAGTTTGGCAGAGAGGAGTGCAGACATTTCTATCAGGGATTTATTCCTCTCTAAAAAAAAATAACACTCCTCTCTAAAAACATACAAATTATGGGTCTATTTCCTGATGGAAAAAAATATATAAAAATACACACATCCAACTTATCAGGTGCAGGACAGAAGAAAGTATCAAATAAAAAAAGAAATAGTATGATTCCATGGTGATTTAATCAGACGCTCAAAAAAGACAATGTTTCGGTCCACGAAGATCTAACTCGGATCGAAACGTTGGGAGCATACCAGAGTTGCGGACATTTCTTATTTTTCTTCTATTTCACAATGACAATGGATATGTAAATGTTTGAATGGCTCCTAAAATGACCAGAAGAGGAGTATTATTTACATATGAGCTTAATATATTTGCCTTAAAAGGACATTTCCAAAAATACACCTGGAAAAAGAGAACATAACTGATAATACCCAGGATATTCTAAGATGGAATGTTTACAAGAGTCATATAATGTGCTATTAAAAGCTATGTCTGATCTTCTTCTAAGCTTCGCTAGATTCCCCCATCCTACGCCTTCTATTGTGTAAATAAATGAGTATAAAAAAGAATTTAAATACAAATATTATATTGAAAATATATACACATTCGCTAGCTATTCTTCTTATACAGTAATTAGACAATGTGATTTTTGTCCGTTGGCATCCATCTGCGTTCACAAAGGAAGCTCAATTCAAAAAATTTCTCCACTAATTGGTCTTTTGGCCAATCAGATCTTTTCACATCAGATCATTTTCAGAGCTGATCTGATTGGTCAAAAGACTAATTAGTGAAAAAAGATCAGAATTGGGCTGCCTCTGGACATGTTTTGCTTGCTCCAGCATTATGTTTTAGTGAGTATGTCATGATGGGTTGTATGTCATGATGATGTTTAGCTTATTTCTTTGTGCCATGTATTTTATTTATTGATTTTGAAGACTATGCTTGAAGATGTTTTTGTGTTATGTAAATACAATTAAGCTCATAATTGTCCTTTTGCTTCTGTTGTACATAGTTAACATGAAATTGGGTCCAACTGACATTAAACGTTTGGGATGTAACATTGTGTAGCCTAATCTGTTTTATTTCAATAATGATTGAAGCTTGTTTGTGTTTATGTTAATAGATTATATATATTTTTTTACAAAACTATTATCTAAAGGCTTTGAATGACACTAACTAACAAACGAAAGGGACTTGATCTAAAGACATGCAGTCGAAAACAACCATCAATGGTGGAAAAAGTACTTAATTGTCATACTTTAGTAAAAGTAAAGATACAGTACCTTTAATAGAAAATAACTCAAGTAAAAGTGAAACTCACCCATCAAAATACTACTAAAATTATCTGGTTTAAAATGTACTTAATTACAGTGATGGAAAAACGACTCAATTTTCATACTTGAGTAAATGTAAATGATATACATCAAATTCCTTGTATTGAGCAAACCAGACGGCCCAATTTCCTTTTTTAAAATGTATTTACAGACAGCCAGGTGCACACTCCAACACTGACATAATTTACAAACGCAGTATTTGCATTTGGTGAGTCCGCCAGATCAGAAGCAGTAGAAATGATAACGCGTTATATTGATAGGTGTGTTAATTACACCATATTTCTGTCCTGCCTGAGCATTCGAAATGAAGTGAGTACTTTTGGGTGTCAGGGAAAATGTATGGGAGTATAAAGTACATATTTTCTTTAGAAATGTAGTGGAGTAAAAGTTGTCAAAAATATAAATAGTTAAGTACATATACCCCCAAAAACTACTTAAGTAGTACTTCAAAGTATTTTTACTTAGTTACTTTACACCACTGACAAACATTTGGAAATCTAACTTCATGTCACCATAATGTCAATCAATCAATCAATCAATCAATTTTATTTTATATATGCCTTCTTACATCAGGTAATATCTCGAAGTGCTGTACAGAAACCCAGCCTAAAACCCCAAACAGCTAGTAATGCAGGTGTAGAAGCACGGTGGCTAGGAAAAACTCCCTAGAAAGGCGAAAACCTAGGAAGAAACCTAGAGAGGAACCAGGCTATGAGGGGTGGCCAGTCCTCTTCTGGCTGTGCCGGGTGGAGATTATAACAGAACCATGCCAAGATGTTCAAAAATGTTCATAAGTGACAAGCATGGTCAAATAATAATCAGGAATAAATCTCAGTTGGCTTTTCATAGCCGATCATTAAGAGTTGAAAACAGCAGGTCTGGGACAGGTAGGGGTTCCATAACCGCAGGCAGAACAGTTTAAACTGGAATAGCAGCAAGGCCAGGCGGACTGGGGACAGCAAGGAGTCACCACGGCCGGTAGTCCCGACGTATGGTCCTAGGGCTCAGGTCTCTCAGTTGGCTTTTCATAGCCGATCATTAAGAGTTGAAAACAGCAGGTCTGGGACAGGTAGGGGTTTCGTAGCCGCAGGCAGAACAGTTGAAACTGGAATAGCAGCAAGGCCAGGCGGACTGGGGACAGCAAGGTGTCATCATGCCCGGTAGTCCTGACGTATGGTCCTAGGGCTCAGGTTCTCAGAGAGAAAGAGAGAACGAGAGAATTAGAGAGAGCATACTTAAATTCACACAGGACACTGGATAAGACAGGAGAAGTACTCCAGGTATAACCAACTAACCCCAGCCCCCCGACACATAAACTACTGCAGCATAAATACTGGAGGCTGAGACAGGAGCGGTCCGGAGACACTGTGGCCCCATCCGAAGAAACCCCCGGACAGGGCCAAACAGGAAGGATATAACCCCACCCACTCCGCCAAAGCACAGCCCCCGCACCACTAGAGGGATATCCCCAACCACCAACTTACAATCCTGAGACAAGGCCGAGTATAGCCCACAGAGGTCTCCACCACAGCACAAACCAAGGGGGGGGCGCCAACCCAGACAGGAAGATCACGTCAGTAACTCAACCCACTCAAGTGACGCACCCCTCCCAGGGACGGCATGAAAGAGCACCAGCAAGCCAGTGACTCAGCCCCTGCAACAGGGTTAGAGGCAGAGAACCCCAGTGGAGAGGGGAACCGGCCTGGCAGAGACAGCAAGGGCTGTTCGTTGCTCCAGCCTTTCCGTTCACCTTCACACTCCTGGGCCAGACTACCAAATGTACCAAAATGTTAATTAAATGAAGATCCATTTGGATTGTGAATCTTTGTATGCTTGTGTCTTTGTTTTGTATCCTGTCTTTTTTTCCTGTCATTCTGTCATTTTTTATGTTTTGTGTCATTTAATATTTTGTGCTGTGGGGTGTACAGACAATAAATAAATACAATTGCAATTGTGATACTCATCATGGTACTGTTGTATGGCTTTTTTCTTATGGTATCAAGTCATTCCTATTTACACGCAGGGCCTCCATACAGCATGGTTTCTGATTATTAGGGGTCTAAGCAGCAGCCTATCTGGCAGCTCTCGGTCTGTCTACCCACACAATCACCCACATGGTCAGTACGGTCATCATTGTCTACAGTATGTCTACAGCAGCAGTGTCTGCTGAGCTCTTGCCAGCAGCCCATACTCTCTATTGAGGACGTTCATTTTAAATCCTTCCCTTTGTTGTGAATGGTTGGAATGCCATGTGCTTTGCCAAATGGCATGTTTTTGTTATTGTGCCTGGAAATCCTATGATTCATTATCTGGTATTCAATGATCTAATGCAGCGGTTCCCAAACTTTTTCACTCAGGCCCCCCTTCCAGCATTGGGGAACATCTTGCGCAGGTTTAAAGCTTATTTCCTGCAATTCTACACATTTTGTCATGGAGCGGTGAACATTTTGCAGTTTTAAAGCTCATTTTCTTGCAATTCTATACATTTTGCCATGTCTAATGTGTGTTCATGTGATATTTAAGTGGCTCAAGCATTACAACAAAATCTATGGGCTACAAAACCTAGCTAAAAAACGTTAGCTGACATGGGCTTGTTGATCTGGACATTTCTGACAAGTTATAAATAGTGCTCTAAGTTATATAATGACTGACAGGACAAGAGGAAAACTGATTATACACTACCCAATTTCTACTATTACAACTTTCAAGAGTAAGTTGAATGTAAGTTGGACCCCCGCGCGCCCCCTGCCGACCCCTCAGTTTGGGAACCACTGATCTAATGGATTGAGACACCTTTTACCTATATGCCAATACAATTGAATTTTTGGACCAGACTTTACAATGCACATCTGTTTGTTCAGTGATTTAACCTAATAAGTTCAAGCCCTCAAAAGGACAATAGTTAGGCAAAATCAATAGTTAGGCTACTGTCAATCCATCATTGCCTCAACAACACCCTGTTAAGGTACTGATATCTGTCACACTGGAATAATTTTGCATTATAGGCTACTGTAACAAGGCAGTTGGGAGCTCGGTAAGCCTACTAACGATCTTGCTGTTGCTGTTGTTAGAGAGCTCATCCACCTGTGCCAAACTGGTCCAGACCGCTTGGCTGAAGATGTAGTGCGCTATAGGCTCACAGTGCTTTGAAAATAAAATATAGGCAAAAGGGAAGTCATCGACTGCAACTGGATTTGTCCATTGCTGCTCCATAGCGGAGCCCACATAAATGATAAAAGAAGAAGGCACACCCATTCACTACACTAGAGTAAACAGGGCAAGCCCAATGTTCATCATCACCGCGTCGGTCAAAGTGCGCGCAGATGACAGTTATAGGCTGTGCTTTCAGGCTATGCGTTATTGCTCGGGAGGGGGACATTGCTGAGTCGGGCGTGGGAGTCAGCCAATCTTTCCTATTCTATCTGGGTAAATGAAAGCTGACAACTAGACTACTTTATTGCAGCGTCCACCACAGAC